TGGCATATATGTTCTAAATAGATTCTTGGTAACCTCTGCTTAAGATGAGGAACATGGATCTGACCTAATTTCCATTGTGAAACCTTGTCATGCTCTTAGAAATTATGATCCTGATTTTGTATTGATTAGCTCATTTAGAAACAGGTTTATAGCCCTTTGCTTTGTTTTATAGCCCAAAGCTCCCATTGTTTTTTCATATATGAGCAAATTTTTGTTGCACCTCATGGTTCCGATGGCTCTGGGAGCACACTGCACAGGGATCTGGTGACTCAGCTCTTCTAAAACTGTGCCAGCCAGAGGCTGCTCTGCATGCCTGTCTGGATTAAAGTGCTTCAGAAATGCTCGGGTTCATGGATGGGCTTGCTAAGCCTCATGCTGTGTTCCCTGGGAAAAGGCAGATTCATCTTTCTGCAGAGATGGGTCATATCCACAATAACTCATTCATCAGTGCTTTCTGACGGGACAATATTTTATTGACAGAAATGAAAAACATTTTTTAGAATGGTCCTTCACAGGATGAGCTGTTGCCCCAGGCTATTCATCATTGTGATTCATTGCAATTTCATTTCTTTTGGGAAGTACTCTCACTGCTGCTCTAAACCACTGTGTACCAGTATCTGTCAGGTTGGGTGGGCTGGATTGCTCCACAGGGAACCTGGTGTCAGTTGGATACTAAGATGTATAAAAATGTGGAATTATTACTTTCCTCCCTAGATTTCAGATGAGTTTATTCAGAGAGATGAATGCACATGGTGTGTTTTGTTAATCAGTTTCTTATAAATGTTATATTTTTTCATGACTGAAACCACTGTGTTGACTCATGCTTGGTCGAAGAGCAGCTCTGAAGGATGCTTGCTCTCATAACACTTTGATTTTCAACCTGTGCTTCAGAAACTCTGGAAATTTGCTAGTTAAGTAGCTGTAGCTCTTCAATATCGATCAACATATGTCCTCTCTTAACAAGCTGTAAATCCCACAAAGGCCTTGGAAGAAAAAGCCAAAATACCTGTCCTGTCATTCCCTTATCTATCTTTCGTCATTTGATTACTCAGTGTAACCTCACCCTTGAAGTTCAGCTCATATGGAGAAGTGCTGTGGGTCCATGTTCCAGGACAAAAGGTGTGCCGGCAAAGCTGCTGGGAGCGCCAGTGTGGATGCCCAGAGCTGGGAGGGAACCTTGGAGAGATGGAAGAAGCCCCATTTCCAAGGTCACCACATCACTGCTTCTGTGGCTCATCCGGCTCCTCTGCATGGTGCCTGGGAGGGGACATGGGGAGCCCTTGCACACTGGAGCTTTTACTGCTCAAAGTCATTTATTTTCCCATTGCAGCACAGACGTTCCCTGATGCAATGCAGCAGTTTATGACTTGTATTTAGCTGTGGTCTATAGACTGATTTTCGTTTTGAACTGATGTCTGTGTTTTGAACACCCACATAAGAAAATAAAGGTGCGTGGAAAGGAAAAAGTACTGCCCAGTGCTATTTGAATTTCCTATAGAAAAAAGACTCCATCTACTTTTCTGATGATTTGCTTGCACAGCAGCTCCTTTAAAGGAACAATTATATAAAGCTTGCTTTGTCTAATTAATTTTGGTGATTTCTCAGATAAATAAAACATATTCAGTCTTTCATTCCATAATTTAATTGACTTATATTTAAGGTAGTCCTTCTTGAGTATTAAACAAACCATTTCATTTTAGGGTCAAACAAAATAGCTGGATATCAGATTACCAAAAACTTGTTCACTTGTGTTTTTTCCATTTCAGACAGTGTTCTAAAAAATTGTACAGGACATATTGGAGTTGTTTAACAAGCTTTACCAATCCTGACTGTTTCTGGTAATGACAGATGACATAAATGCTTGCAGACTACATCTCTAATGTCTGATTTTAATTATTATATTTTATGGCAAGTCTGTTTTAACTTATCCAAGGGACACAAGGCAATTGCAATTCGGATAATTATACAAAATCAGGTGGTTGACTCCTAGTAGCTGTGCTCATGCAGCAAGTAGTGTGTCCTCCATGCTGAGTACAGCATTTCAAGTGAGATGGATTGTGTTATCAGTTCATAAAAACAAACATAGAACTTAATTTCAAATTAACCAATCCATGAAATAATATTTCACAGGTAGTTTAGCACTACATAGGGACAGCAGCATCCCAGATATAAATGTCAAAAAGTACAAATAGAAATAAATCTAGAAATAAAACTACAGGTTCTAGCTAATAGATTACATGGCTAATTAAACTAAACGAATCACTTTTGACCAGATACCGTAACCGTGTGTCCAAAGGACAACAAATCTGGTGAAAGGGCTTATGAGGACCAGCTGAGGGAGCTGGGGTTCTTCAGCCTGGAGAAAAGGAGGCTCAGGGGAGACCTTATTGTTCTCTATCTGAAAGGAGATTATAGTGTGGTGGGGGTTGATCTCTTCTCACAAATAACAAGAGATAAGAGGAAATGGCCTCATGCTGTGCCAGGGGAGGTTTAGATTGGATACTAGGAAAAATTTCTTCATGGAAAGGGTTTTCAAGCACGGGAACAGGCTGCCCAGGGAAGTGGTGGAGTCACCATCCCTGGGGATACTTAAAAGATGTATAGATGTGGCACTTAGGAATGTGGTTTAATGGTGGACTCGATGATCTTAAAGGTCTTTTCCAACCTCAGTGATTCTATGATTTGATGATTCTATTTGAAAAATGGGGCACTTTTCTTACACCATCAGATAACAAAAAATATGGCATTCAAATGCTTAGCTATTGTCTCATATATAAATATATTTTTACTTACTTTGTTTCATCTTGGTGTGGAAGTCTAGAATACCTTTATGAACAAGACATTAAATAGTGTGCAAAGCTGTTTCTTGTTTCTGACTTCTTCCCAGTATGTGGGAATTTTGCACTTTTTATGTATTGGATGGTGTTTCATGTCAGATGGAATCAGAATAGATGAGAATCCAATAGCTTAATCCCAGGTATTCCTGTGGCAGTTATGATGAAGTCTTCCGAATGTGTAGTTACACACGGCTATTGCTGGAAAACTTCATGTGTGGACATTTTTTGTATCCAAATTGAAAATATCTTGTTGTCAGCTTAGCTCAATGTGCTTTTAAGGATGGGAGAGAGGATTACCATTTGTTGCAAACCTCTAAGATGGAGAAGAAAGATATCAGGAAAATAACAGGAGAGCAGTAGGCCCAATCCAGACTCATTCTAACTTTGAGGGGCGAGAGAGGGATTCCACCTGCGGAAGGTGAGGTGACAGCAAACCAGGAGGATCAAAAGAAGTATTATCAAGCTTTTCTTAATGCAAATACTGTTTGGATAATTTTAGTACATCTGCCACTATCTGATGCTCTAATTGTTAACAGGTTATCTTAGGGTAGCAAACATTTATGCTAGATGTGTTATGTGTAAGTACATCTTATAAGCAACACTGTTATCCCACAGCTGCATAAAAGCATCGTATGACAGGTTTTTCTGGTGGGGAAGGTTACAAGTTTCACTTATATAAATAATCAAATATTCCTTAGATACTAGAAATTATATCGTTTCATTCCTTTTCTTGTTTATAACACAGAAGTTTGTTCTTATTATAGATAGCCTGTAATCAAGTGATTATATACGCATGTGATAGACAGTAGGGCTAAGAAAAGAGCAAGGGACTGACTGTAATCTCAGTCCAGCCACTGAAAAATAGGTCAAGATTTGGATGCAAAAGTCAAGCATGTAATGTTAAGGTCTGAAAGTCTGTCATTTTTGCTTTTCTTATTGTCACTGATCTTGACAGCAGTGACTTGTCAATCTACGACAAGCACTGGGAAGTGAAGGAGCAGCCTGGGCTGGCACTGGTGCAGCTGGGGTGTGCGACGGCTGGGGCTGCAGAGAGCAGAACGCCTGTCCAGCTGGCTCCCAGTGCCACTTGGAAATGCGCTGAGGTGTTGAGGCCCTTCCTGGAGCTTGCAACTGTGGTTTTTTCAGCTGTGTTGCAGAAGAGTTAGGTGCTGAGGGATCTGAAGCCTAAATTTCGAAAGAATTTGTGCTTTTTGGGTGTGACATGCTGTGAAGGTTCATAGATGAAAGTATCTCCAGGGGGCAACAGAAGCATGGAACAGCAGAGGCAATGAAGACCTTGCTCAACACAAGCAAAGAGGACAAGAGACAAAACTATGTGCACAAAACTGGGAGCAGGTAAAAGCTCAAGTACACAGGGAACCAGATGCTTGGGATCAGCAAACAATTCTGCGTCTCTCACTGAATTTCTCAAACAAATCCCCAGCCTCTGTCTGCACCAGAAGATGGGAAATAAGTGGAGGATAAGGGGTAGTGTAGACAGCATTAAGAAACAGAAACTGTAGTGCTTGCAGCGCGTCTAACCTGGAGATTTTTTTGAAAAAGAGGGGTAAAGATTGAAATGTTATCTCAAGAAAAATAATTCTTGCAGCTCTGGAGGGCATGAAGGCCAAGACATGAAAAAGCCAAGGGGTATAGATCTGGTGATAGCAGTAGGGTTCAAGGGCAGGACCTCTCCCAGTGAGGCAGCACTGAGTGCACTCTGATCCTTCATGCCTGCAAGGGACTGCACCATCCTGCAAAGATGACCTGCTGTCTGTTTTGGAGAATACCTTGTAATAGATCTGCCTTCTGTCATGTGATGCAACTGTGTGGGTGAAAGATGAGTTCTGGACTGAGAAGCTTGACATATTCTCAGCTCAGGACAGCTTCTGTTCGCTGGAATGAAGGAGTAAAATGTACTATTGAGTCTGCTTTGGTTGAAGGTACTTTAGTACAGGGCAGTAAAAGAACCTGGGAGAAAAACACACTCCAGGCAAAATTCCAGCCTTTGGGATGCCAGTGGATGGAGAAGAGGTTACTTTCACCTCTCTAGTTTGGGGTTGTTTTATGCCAGGAACAGGCTCAAGCAACTTGTGTGGATGTGTTATTGTCATAACAAGTGACTACAGAGGTCCTGAGAGGGGTGTGCAATTCAGGTTGCAGGCACAGGTCTCCTTCCTGGTTAGGCAGAAAGCAGGATCAGACTGATTCACATATGATGTCTGCGGAGTCCTTGTGACACTGCTGTTGTGCTTCTCTTCCTCTCCTTGACCTCACACACCAAGGCTCTGGGCTTGCCACACTGGATTTTATAGTTGTGTATATAAATGAGCAAAAGGGGGAAGTCTAGTGAGCATTCAGGCTGGTGCAGAGACAGGTAAGTGACAGGTACTGCGGTGTATCTTGGTCTGGAGAGAAGGGGCATGGTTACTCTAAAATCAATAGCATGAAATAAAGCTGCAAGACAAAGGTACACAGTAGAATGTGCTTATAGCAAAGTGTGATATCAAGGGACCGTGTCTGCCACTGATAAATGACTTCACTAAATTGAAGTTTTACAGAACAGTTATTTCAGGAAATTTATAACTGATGTAAGAATGAAAAGCTTATCCTTAGTAAGTAAACTACTTGTAGCAGTTGCAGGCATGTAATGATCCTTGAAAAACTGGTGTGCAGAGCCAGGCATCCAATACCAGAATACCGAGGCTCGAGAACTGCCTTGCTGTGTTCTAGAGAGATTCGTCAGTTACCTACAGTCTTAAATATCAATCCCTTAAGCAATATCTAGACAACCTTACTCAGTTTTTGCTGGTTTTTTAATTATTTTTTTTTCTAGTAGCATAAGAGTCCAAAAATACTGAAGCCACTCATGCCCACTGCCCCAAGCTGTACTTAGGCAGTTTTAGCTACATTTGTCTACTTGTTTGAAGTTGGTAAGCGAGGTCAAGTCAGCTTTTAAGGTGATTATCTCTGGGCAATTCTGTTTTGAGGAACCTGAGGTTAATTTTGTTTTCCAGCACAATGACAATGGTTATATCCTCCAAAAATGGTATGTCTCTATCAATTTTTTTTGAAAGATAATTGCATTTCTCGCTAATCATGAGATGTAGTAAGTAACCTGCAGGATGCAAGCCATGCTGTATATTTAATAAAGTCTGAAGGAATAAATAATAAACCTTTTATGAAAGGTTACTCTTGAGTAAAGGAGAGATATTAAAATGATTTCTTTATCCATTTTCTGAACAACTGTAGCTACTGAAAATGGAACGCATCCTTTTAACATAATGCTTTTTGATACTTTTCAAGTGTTATGTTTTCTACTGTCAAACAGTAGAAATAACTTAAAAAGGTATTAGTTATAAAATATTTTGTTGATGTTTCTGCACCCAGCCTCTTCCACTTAGATTTTCCATGGAAATGGTGGTTTATGCCATAATTATCTTAGTCTTTTACAGAGAGATAACTTTTAAGTAACTCCAAGCAAGATTTACAGACAAGGACAGGGCACTGCTATATATGAAGATCTTTAATTGCATATAATTAATCTGATATCAATAAGGTTGCATCCACTAAGATATCCATCAATAACGGATATTAGTTGTTTGCAACTAGCATTTTCTAACTGCAAGATCTCATTCAGATAAAGACCCACCTAATTAAATGTGATTAAAATACATGCTTCATGTAAAACATGCATTTACATCTGAATAGGGATGGTTTGCAACCCATCCTTGGGTACCTTCCTTGAGTGTGACTGTGGTACTCATGTGTGATTTTGTTTCTTGCTGGAAGCAGTTCTCCCAACTCTGATACCCTAATTTACATTTATTCTAACAGCAAGTGAATTCTTGGTATTCATTACTCCAGTTTCTGAAATGGTCTTTTTGTTGCTCCTTCTCATATGGAATGATTACTAGAATTAATATAACGCATAAATAGGGATAAAGATGATGAGGAAAAGTACTTTGAGTCAGATATGAATTTTGTGGTTAAATAGAGCAAAATCAGCCCATCCTGAATCTCAGTGTTCTGTATGAACCTGCTTATGCCTTATTCATCTCCCCCTTGCTTACTTCAAATCAGGTGCAGATTTCTCTACTATCGTTGCCACAGATTCAGATCTTTCCCACCCACCCTTTCCTGAGATGTCAGGTCTATGTGAGCAAATCCAGTGAAAGTAAAATTAGATAAAACCACTTAAGTGAGGTGAAAAAACTCATCATCTTTGTACAATTTAAGAATTAAAAGTAAAAAGCAATCCCAATGTGTTATATCGGTTGAATATCAGCAGAAAGGAGTAGTCTGGGAGATCTGTGAGCTCATTTGTACATATCCTGGGAAGTGTGACAGTCAAATGTACTTCACATATACATTTCACATTTCATGTATTTCAAAGAAGTAAAAGATGCATTTGGAGATCCTTTCTCTCTGCTATAAACTAACATCTCTTTCACCAGCATGGCTGAGCACCTGTTTCACCAGTTGGCATAAAGCAATTGGTTCTGAACCAGCAGTTTTCCAGATCATTAGACACTGACCAAGCATCAACTTGGGTTTTTCAGAAGATTTATTTTAAAAGTTTTCAAAGCAGCAAATTCAACTGCATTCAAAATTAACAAAAGAAACACTTATATTGAAAGGCCTAATTTACCATCTGTGGGATTTGCATTGCAAACTTTGAGGTCTGAACAAATTCTATAGCAGATCTTCAAGCACTTCGCTTTTCTTTCCCATCTGGGACAGAAAGCTTTTATTCTGGTGAAGCACAAGAAGCTCCATGAAAATGGGACTGTCTTCAGTAAGAAAGCCCTTCTAGATCAGGACTCACAGAAGGACAAGTATCTATAATTATTACCTTGCAAGGTAATAGAGCAGTAGAGAGAAAAAGTAAAATAGTAACACTAATAGCATGACAGCAGGTGATAAGTTTAGTCTTTGTATGAATGAGTTCAGTGAGAGCAACAGCCTAAAACTTGAGGGTAAGACATATAGCACTGATGCAACTGGCATTCCAGTAGTACAGGATAAAATAAGAAATACTTCAGGCCAAGCTCAGGAAAGGCTCATCAGGAAAGCCTTCCTTCATATAAAACAGTGGCTGAAAAGCAGTCAGTCCTGGTCCTTGCCTGGGTTGAGCAGAATACACCTGATTGCCCAGTGCTGCAGTGAAAGGCCTCACTGAAAGGCCAGAGAATGGCCTGAGACAATGTTGTTTTGAGTCAGGACAGGGGAAAGGTTCTCCAGAATGGGCATCATGTATGGAAATTGATTCCATGTATTGTCTCTTTCACCACTGAGATATTTATACAAACACTAAGAGGAGGATCTGGGATCTCCTCATTTCTCCTGCAGCCATGCAGGGGCACCCTGGGAGAAGATGCACACCTACAACCCTGCAGGCAGAGGACAGAACTGGAGTACTCTGCTAAATGCAAAAAAGATGCATCTTCAGCTACACTAGGAACCTAACTCCCGTAACAAAATGCAGAGCTGAAACTGCTCATGGGTGTGACCTTTAAGAAAATGTTTGGTGACAACAAAAACTTCAAGAATTTTTTATGCTCTACAGACCTGTTGTGTGCTCCTTATAAATTAGTGCTAGGAAGCCTTCAGAGTGCATAGATTTTGTAATTCACTTGTATTGTTTTTTCACAAAAGCTTAAGAAAATTGTGTGGGATAAATACTTTGCTTAAGTAGATCAGCTTTCAGCAAAATTCATGACCAGGTTTCTATTTTCAGACAACTGCCCCAACAAAGTGACACTAAATACATATTTGTATGAGTTGATTAAAAAATAAATGCTGAGAACAAAGAGCAAGAAAACAGAGATAGAAAAGAGGGTCCAATACAATGCCCAGTCTGATCACGATATCCGTTCCAAACTACAATCAATCTTTTCCAGAATCTTTGTGTTTTTTCGTCAGGCATGTAGCTTTCCCCATATATAAATGCACACAGGGTGGGATCCTCAGAGTGTGAACTGTAAAGGAAATTGTTTAAGACAGATTTTGTGAGACTTTTTAAAGGGTTGTTACTTTCATTCCTAGTGGAAGAAAGGATTTTTTTGCTTTAACTTTTGATTGCAATTCAAAGAAATTGGTAAAAAATACTTCAATTAGTCACTTAAACAACCGTACCTCATTCACAACATTGCTTGTTATGATTATCTAGAGAGTGAAGAAGGGAAAATGTGGGTACAAAGTGGCTGAGGAAATGTCAGAGTGGAATTCCTGTTGCTTGACTTTGTCATCTAAGTAGGGCATCTAATACAAATCAGTTTTCTCTGCTCTGAGCATGGTCTTTGAGAAGGGACAGGCACCTTCTGATGGTCCCCCCCCCAAGGATGAGAGGCTGAGATTTGTGACTGTAAGTCTCTCTAGAAATCAATGTTTTCTGGGATATGGGCTCATAAGATGTTGGGAGATAAATTAGTACTGTTGGAGTAGACAACAGGAACATAGACTGACAGAAACCCCAAATTGTTAATTTGTGATTGCATGTCAATTTAATAAACTTCTGTCTTCTACTATGCAGCATGGAAAAGTGTTCTATGAATTGCTACAGCCTGACTGTAAAATAGGATGTTTCCATAACTGCAAATTGCTTGGCTTTGATATTTCCCATAAGTATTCATTAATGTAGTTTGTGTTCATAAGTAGCTGTGATTACAGCTAATAAGCATACTTGTATTGTGTGTGGGTAAATTGATTTCAGTTTTCCTACCATACACTAAAATTATATGAAGATATCAACTAACAGATAAACTCCCACTTAATGTAGTTTGATTACCTTTAAACACCACTGAAGTATATTGATAGAATCTTAGAATTATGGAATCATAGAATCATAGAATGGTTTGGGTTGGAAGGGACCTTAAAGATCATCTAGCTCTAACTCCCTTGCCGGGTTGGGAATACCTTCCTCTAGACCAGGTTACTCAGATCTCCATCCAGCCTGGTCTTAAGCATCTCTAGTGATGGGGAGTTCCTAATCTCTCTGAGCAACCTGTTGCAGTGCCTCATCAGCCTTGCAGTAAAGAATTTCTTCCTAATACCTAAATCTACCCTCCTTCAGCTTAAGGTCATTCCCTCCTGTCCTGCCACTATGTGCCCTTGTCAAAAGTCTCTCTCCAGCTTTCTTATAAGCCCTCTTTAAGTACTGGATGGCTGCTC